GAGTCATCTCCGACCCCATAAAGAATATATAGACTAGACCAGCATCAGCAGGAGAGTTCTCATAAAGCCACGTCCGTCTGTCTGTTTCTATGCAATCTAGTCTCTCAGTTTAAAGCAAACTAAGAAGCTAAGCGTAGATCCGCCTTTCTATTGCTTCCCGGATCGAACAACTATATCATAAAGCTACCATAAGAACGATTGGAAAACTTCTTTGCTTATCAAGACATCTTCCCCTAACTCGGCACTTATTGGTTTAACTTGCTGCTTATATATATGCAAAATCTTATCAAAATCGGACCACAATATCAATATATTGAATGTGACAAAACAGGTTCAAACCATTGCAGCCATGATTTATATAACGTAGAAATGTATAAATCTTAAAAAACGAACAGAATGTAATGCATTTTTTTGCAGTGGAACGCAGCACATGAAAAGCTCCCGAGTTTGTATACATTTTTCTTTTGATAACATATTTTTGTTTTTTTTTTTTTTTTTAACTGAACATTACACTTGTGAGTTGAATGGTTAAGGGTTCAAAAGACTTTTACCTACCAAAAAATCGATTGAAAAATGATTCCTGGTTTGTGTCATCTGCGTGAGGATAGTTGCATTGTTGTTGTTGTTGTTGTTGTTGTGTGATTTCAAATATTACATACACATACAGGAATTCATTAGTTTTGTTCAAGAGTTACTTAAATGCATGATGTGATTCAAATACTTATCCTAAATACTTACACAATTAATTACAAATGGAAAAAGTAAAACCAATATTTAGTTTAATGACAAGTGCAGGGAAAGAGGGACTTGGGGCTGGGGGAAATTGATGTGAGCTACACAAAGTGGAGTAAAAACTAGTTCAGTAATACATTTCGCGGGATAGTCTATGGTAATTATTGGGAAATAGACAACTTATAAACAACTCGACATGAATTCTCATTGGTTTAGTCGTGCTGTGATAAATATATATGATATAAACAAGGCCGGCAGCTGCTAATTTAAAATAATAATGGGCTGAACATTAACAGAAAGGTTTACTTGAAACATATTTCTTCCTTTCTTTTACTCGCCCCGTTGCCTAGCCAACAAAAGGAATAATAACAAGGTAAAAGGATTCTACAGCAACAAAAAGGGGGATAAAAAACATACAACACCAAATGAAACACATAACTAAACTGAGGGTTGATATAATATTGCCTTCTTCTTCATTGTTATCTGGTTAAGAAAAAATACAAATTTGCACTTTTTGTTCGCAATTGCCGCAAATGAAATTTAACGCTGTGCAAAATTCGAGTTTAGAACTTAAGGAATCGTAACCCAAGAATTGTTCTCTCTTTTTTCTCTTTTCGTTTCGTTTTCAATTCAAATAAAATTAATTAATGCACAATTCAAGTCTTACGGTAGTGAGCGGAATCTAGAAGCACAAAGAACAAAGAACAAATGAAAAGACCAAAAAGTATACAAGGAAATCAAACGAAGTCAGGATCGGAGTGTGTATAAGAGAGATATTGGAGATTGGTACCAAATGTCCTTCAAATCATTCAAATTGGAAATGCCAATTTTCAATGCCAGATAAATGTGGGTGTGTGTGTGTTTTTTTGTGTGTGTGTATCCTAGCTGCGGTTATTTCCTTGCCAACAGCTCAAATTGGCCTATTAACTTTATTATGAAAGCAACAAAACAGTGAAGAAAATGCGCGCCCATTTTCCTTTCACTTTTAGAGGCTGCTCCTTGAATCATGATGCCCAATCCTGCGGCTGCTGCAGCTCCATGCGTTGTAAATTCGTCTAATTTGGTTAACAGGAAATTGAGTTTGCTTTGTAAGGATACACAGCTACACACACACACACATTCACACACAAACACACACAGAATCACACACGCACACACAGACATTGAGGTGTCGGGAATTGTGTGCCAGTTCATGGACTGTATCTGGGGAAAATGGGTGTGGGGGGTATTATGTTTGGGTTTCTGCTTTCGGTGCTATTAAATTGAGTTTTAATGTGTTTTTGGTTGCCCGGTTGGCAACTTACCTGGCGCCAGTCGCGGTTCGCCAATGTGCATCTTGAATTTGACATCCTTCTGATATTTGCTCTCCTCCAATATTGGTATGGATATATATTGCCTGCAATGGATTTAGGCACAAGGATTTTAATTACAATGTGGCGATTTAAATCAAATTAAGTTAGTGACAAGCCAAATGACCTAAAAAGCGACTTGAATTTGGCCTAAAGGAACGGCCATTGCGCCCAACTGGGCCATAACAAAGAGCCACATTGATTAATGGCCGTTGCCTTGACTAAATGGCCACAATCTTGACACTCCAAAGCAATGTTTGGAATTTATTGGACGGCATAAACAAGATTGTCACAATGCACAGCCCTCCCCCCTCCCCACTCCCCTCCTTATGTTCGCTCCTTACACCCCAACAAGAAAATCAATTGCCCAGCCCAGAAGCTGAAAATAATAAATGAAAATTACGTATACGCAATGTGTACTCATAAATATGTGCATTATTCAACTGTGCAACAAAATGTTTCGTAGCAAGTGAATTATTCGAGCATTTTCAAGAGAGAAAGAGAGAGAACAATAGTGAGAGAGAGACAAGTTTACTTTGTTTTCATTTGATTTGGCAACGTGCCAAACCGAACGCAAGCCCATTTTTATACACTTGCAAAAGGTATAATAATTTTATAACGAAATGTTTAATGCATAGGGGAAGACAATTACGACACCATAAATATATATATATATACATTCTTGATCAGCATCAGCAGCCGAGTAGATGTGACCCTATGTCTGAGTCTAAATAGAAATAATTTAATCTTGCCTCCCAGCTTTCAAATTTTTGTCATGAAATTTTGTATTTGTGGTATATATGTCATAGTCGGACGTATGTCTGCCATAGGAATGATCGTTTGAAAAATAAGTTATGGTATGAAAAACTCTTTTATCCTGACAATGAAAAATATTTTTATTTTCCAATATATTTAAGCCAAACTTTACATTTATTAGTTTGTCATAGATATATTATAGGCAAAATCCTATTTTAATCGGACTACTGCTTATATAATAAATCGGCCATGGAATGATTGGTCGAACATAAAGTTCTTGCTTAAAAAACCCCTTTGTCTTCTAATATATCATAAAAAGACGTGGAACATTTTATTATTGACCTTTTTATCATAAAGATCCAAAAAGATCTAGATCGAAAAAGGAATTTTTGTATGTAAAACAGTTACGTTTTTCAGGAAATCTTAATCAATAAAATTCTCCCAACTTATCTGCAAAACCTTAACCGATATATCTGTAAGAATATTAAATATTCGGTGTGCCGAAATTAGCTATCTTAAATGCCACAAGTTGTTTGCGTTTGGCCCGCGGACATAATTTGTTGGCCCGATAAGACAACTCGAAGTGGCCAAACACTAAAGTTGGAGCGCATCTAACTAAGTTTTTAAGTGTTTTAACTGATTAAACTTAAACTTTATATTTTTAGCTTTGCAAGTGTAATTATTTTTGCAAAAAGCAAACTGCCATTTTCTACAGGTACGTACTTTTCTCTGCAGTGGCATTTTGCGCACTTTTCTTTTGGCATTCGCCAACTTTCACATTTATTTCAACCTTTCACCTTTTTGTTTTATTTATTTTTTTTTTACTCTGAAGCCAAATGAGTTTTGGTCGTGTGGTTTCTATTTCTGTTTCTAATTCGTTGTTTTATCTGCATTTTCTGCAGGGAAAAACCATTGCGAAAAGCATGTTTTTCATTAAAACTTGTTGCTGCGTGTGTGTGAGTGTGCGTGGGTGTGTGGCAAACTTTGAGCCTGCAACGTGCGTGGTCAACTTTTCATTATGGCCAACAACTTTTACGAGTCATAAAAATGAAATGCGGTTATTCACGAGAGGTACAGTGCAGCTTCTCTATATGAAATTCCCTTGAAATTTGAACGCTTCACTGTGATATATATATATATATATATATATATAGAAGTGCAAGTGAATTAAGCTGCTGTGATTAGATTAGTTATGGTTTAAATACAAGCAATCAATTTGTTGTTCAGTTTCCAGGAATTTTTTCTAATTTATAATTTGATTTTTATATTTATTTTAATACCCTGCATCTGCTCAACATGGGTTTTGGGTATATTGTAGTTCGCAAATGCACTTTAAAAACATTTACGACCACGTAATTCAACGGATATATCGAAAATGGATCAATTTGATAGGATTTTATATTGTTTATTATTACTGAAAGAAAATAAAGATATATTCAAGCTATACCTTATCTTATATCGAGGTAACTTGTATTATTTTATAGTTTCTGATTCGTATATACCCAATGTCCATGAAATATAAATTTTAAAGAGTATATTGAAGCTATGCAAGAAGCATCATCGACCTCCAAGTTCTTTTCTACCCGAAATCGATATTTATCGATTTTTTAAAGTATTCTTTAAACCAATTCCAAGCCAATACAGGGTACATCATAGTCAAGCACTCTTGCTTTAGTTATAGTTTAGTTATACATTATATATATGAGTGTTTAATGTAAACTTAATACGCGTAAGAAACAACTCAGCCAGATTCTTTAATCTGATAAGGTATTTCACTCAGCCAGATTTTCGGATATCAAATGGGCATTTTGATGACTTTGTACCCAACCCCTGCCCGCCCCTCTCTTATTCCACCATAAAATAACCCATTTTACACATGCAACATTTCACGTGTTTTTTTTTGTTGTAGTAGCGAGTCCGAAAAAATATAATAAATCCATAAACTCTCGTAGTTGGCCATAAATAAGAGCACGAGTCGGGGGCCTGTGGCTTGGGGAAGGGGGGGATTATCGACGCATTAGATTTGTGCGGTCGATTTGGCCATGTCCAGTGCCATGTGCCGCCTATCTTATCCGTATCGCAATCGGAAGTCGTGCAAGTGGCTGGCAGCGGGCCACGGGCAAACACAAGCCCAGCCAAGCAATTGCCTCAGTCTTGAACGAGATGTTTCTCCTGTCAAACGTCGTGATTGTTATCGGTTTGCTCAGCGGGTGCGGCTGGGCGGCGCCTGAATGCACGCGCAGTGCCGAATACTGCCAAGATCGGCTGATGCATCCGGCTATGCCGGAACCCAGGCAGCAGCAGCCCCGAGTGGAGGGCGAGGAGAGCACCGCCTACTGGCGGGACCAGGGCATGCAGTTTGTCAAGCAAAAACTGGGCGCACAGCTAAAACAGGGCAAGGCCAAGAATGTGATTATGTTTTTGGGCGATGGCATGGGCGTGACAACCACTTCGGCGGCGCGCAATTTGCTGGGCGGCGAGGAACAGTCGCTGTCCTTTGATCACTTTCCCTACACGGGTCTGTCCAAGACCTACTCGGTGGATCTGACTGTGCCCGACTCGGCATGCACGGCCACCGCCTATCTGTGCGGTGTCAAGGCCCAGGAGGGCACCATTGGCGTCAATGGCGCCGTGCCTAGAACCGACTGCAAGGTCATGCTGGATGAGAGCACACACGTCGACTCCATTGCCAAGTGGGCGATGGATGCGGGCAAATGGGCGGGCCTGGTGACCACCACCCGGGTGACACATGCCTCGCCCGCTGGCGTCTATGCGCACATTGCGGAGCGCGACTGGGAGAACGATGCAGATGTTGCCGCCGACTGTGGCGCGGACTCCGGCATCCAGGATATTGCCTACCAGCTGGCCAATGGCGAGGTGGGCAGCAAGCTGAAGCTTATCATGGGCGGCGGTCGCAAAAACTTTGTGGACCAGAGTCTGGCGGATTGGGGCAAGCGGACAGATGGCCGGGATTTGATTGAGGAGTTCAAGGCGGCGGATGCCGAGAATGTCTATGTGACCACAGTGGACGAGCTAATGGCATTGGATGTGACGCAGCCACAGCGTCTGCTGGGCCTGTTCCAAGACGATCATCTGCAGTACCACATGCAGACCAACGAGAGCAGCACACAGCCCACACTCGAGCAGATGACGCGCAAGGCCATCGAGTACATGAGCCAGAACGAGCAGGGCTACTTCCTGTTCATCGAGGGCGGTCGCATCGATCACGGCCACCACGACAATCTAGCGCGCCTGTCACTCGACGAGACCATCGAGTTCTCCAAGGCCATTGGCGCGGCCCGAGAGCTCACCAGCGAGGAGGACACCCTGCTGGTGGTCACCGCGGATCACTCTCATGCATTCAGCTATGCGGGCTATGGGGTGAGCATCCATGTCTAAATCTATGTACAAAAAACTGCTTATTTTGACTGACTGATTGGCTGAGTGAGTGATTGATTGACTGGTTGACTGACGGACTGAGTAAGTGATAGATGATGGGGAAATAAGTACGCTAAGAAGGGGTTTTGGGAAAATCAAATTAATTTAGACGGCTGGAATAGTGATATTGGCTACCCGGCCAAAGCCGGGTGACACTAGTGTTATCTAAATACAAGCGATTTAATCTCAACCGTCTGCTATTCTTCTCACAGTATCGTGGCGCTGATGTCTTCGGCAAGGCGCCGGCTACAGGCAATGACGGCATACCCCACATGATACTCAGCTATGCGAATGGGCCCAGCGCAGAGAATTACTATAAAGCTGAGACCAAGGAACGCATCGATCCCACCACGTTGATCACTGGCAGCAGTGATGATGAATTCCCCGCGGGCGTGCCCTTGGACTCGGAAACCCATGGCGGCGACGATGTGCTTGTTTATGCATCGGGCCCCTGGTCCCATTTGTTTACCGGCGTCTACGAGCAGAGCACCATTCCACACATGATGGCCTACAGCGCCTGTCTGGGCGATGGCCTTACCATGTGCAGCAGCTCCTAGGGGGCACACGCGCCCTGGTCCTGGGTGCGTGACTGCAGCTCATCACAATTAAGTTTGTAGCTCATTAAAAGCAGCGATTGCACTTGAGCTGCTACTCCTCCTGCTTTTGCTCCTCGACTTGTATTTAATGCAAATTGTAAATTGAATTAAAGCGCATTTCTACAATGCTCTTCTGCGTTTTGCATGTTAACGGAAAACAGTTCTGGGCAACTTTTTGATTACATTCTTGGTGCTTAGCTCACGCTGTGCTTCTAATTGCAGCCCGCACCTATTGCAATTCACGGAAATAGGGTATAATGTAGTTTTACGAGAGAATATTAGGGGCAGAAGGTATAGCAGATCTGACAATGCCGTCTGTCTGCACGTGTTAACTTCAAAGACTTTAAGAGACATTCTGGATTTTAAATGTTATTTCCTGTTCACCCACACAATCCAGTTTCTCTCCATTAGATCGCTCGATATTTATCGATTTTGGCCAGGGACTCAAGACTAATTTTTCCTAGTTCGATATATAGACTTATAGCATCCCCATTTAATCGATCAATATATATCGATTTGCTTCCTAGGTTTCTTAATCATATTCCTAAAGATATCATTCGGATTGTTGTAGCTAAAGACACTGCAATTTAAATTTGTATTTAAAAATTTGCAAATAATGTTCACTCTTTTGTATGTTACTTTAACATTTCCTCATTTAATCGATGGATATATATCGAGCTTAGTTTAGGTTTCTTGAGCATATCATTAAAATTGTAAAAGCTGGAGTCAATACATTTAAGGTTTTGTTCTCTACGCTGCCTGCCTCAAATCTTCCAAATTTGGTTATAAATTAAGGGTTGATATTTGGTATACAAATATGTTTCGATATCATTCGGATAATAAATAGAAAAGTTATTTGAAAATGAATTTTCTGAAGATGAAGCTGCGTACACTTAGTTTATGTGTCTTTAAAAATTCAAAACTAGTTACAGAGTATTTAGCAGTCGTGTTCGACAAGAATACTCTTGTTTAAAGCTCATCAACTTAATGGGCGACGATGGTGCCTGCCAGGCATACTCAAACGTGTGCGTCTGTGTGTATGTGTGTGTGTGCGGGTACAAGCATTTGCTATTCCCTTGCGTGTGTGGCCAAAGTTTTGGCCAGCATTTGGGTTAAGCTAAACACACACCGAGCACACACACTCCCACATGGACACACACAGACACAACTGTGTGGAAATTTGCATTTTATACGCAATTTTATGCAAAACTCTGGCCAAGTCGCCGTATGATTAGGCTTAAATAAAAAATGGGCACAAATTTAGTTAACTGCGTGTTGCGTACTGTATTTTGCATATGGAATCAATCGGTAATTGCAACAATTAAAATTGATGCGTCATTCAGTTTGGCCTTGGGGGCGTATGAGTAATATGATGGGGAAACGCGACGCGCACACACGATGCATTTGTCAATTTTCTAGTTTCTATTTCCGTTTTGATTGAGAGCTAAATTATATCCGCCATACACACACACACACACACACACACATACACACACACACACAAAGCCGGGCTGCTATTGAGTGTGTGTGTGTGTGTCTCATTTCCCTCTCTAGTGACAGCTATTAAAGCAACAACTGCGCGCACCGCCCTTTCTCTTGACATTGGCAAAGCATTGGCAAAGCTAATTCTGTGCCACCCGCTAGTCCGCCCCCTGCCCAACCCTCTGAAGCTTTTAACTTTTACCCTTCGCTTTGCCGCTGTGCGACTTCCGACGTTTGATTCCAATGCCGGCAACAGCCAAAGTTCTTGCAACGCGCCACAGTTGTTGTTAAACACACATGTTATTAAGCAACACACACGCACACACACATGTCTACACACACACACTCCCATACATATATTGATTTCAAGTCAAATAGCCACCAAAGTCTGGCCATCAATTGGCGACTGTGCGGCAAAGTCAAAGTCAATGCTGCAAAGCGTTGCAAGTGCAGCTTTTTGTGGCAGGGCCACATAGTATTATGCTGCTGCTGAGCAGCCACAAAAGTGGTTCCAAATTACAAATTCCTAGTTTAAGAGCATTCTGCAAATGCAAAGGAATAATCAACTGCGTTGAAAGCATGAGATAAATTTCCCAAATAGCAGACTAATTAATTCTCTTCTCTCTTTCTACCCGCTCACTCTCTCTTTCTCTCTCTCTCTCGCTCTCAATCTCCTTTAGCCATCTGCCTGCAATTACCTGAACCGTCTGTGGCATAGTGGTCCCTTGTCAATATACAAAAGCATACGTAATCGGCCACTGAGCTGCGAGGGAAAGTTCAGCCCACACATAAAACCGCAACAACAATGGTTGAAGGTGGGATTGCCGAATGTTTTAAAATAAAATTACAGTTAAATAAAGCAATCTGCAACGCAACGAGTGCTTCATACACGAGTGTGAGTCCATGGCGACTGCCTGGATTCAAGCTGACCAACACGAAGCCACTAAACCACTAACGCAATCACTAACTTTTGCCTTTACCCAACCATACACAAGCTCATACACCCCTCACAGCCCCACACACACACCCTCCCAAGCGTTCCCACTCAACTTTATTTTCAAACGTTTTTTATACCCTCAAAATGGATTACAAGGGTATAGTCCCGATTAGGATAAGGAATCGCACATACGAATTTCCCCCACAATCGAACAAACTTAATTGTTGGGTGGCATATTTAAGCCTTGAAAACTTCATAAAGATCAGACCTTGAACAGCGGAGCTATTCAAGAATACTTTCCTTATAATGTATGGCTGGGGCGTGCGAATGTGCGAATAGAAGCTAGAATGCTTGTAATGGCAGCTTGTTCTTATATACAGGATATCAACTAGTCGTGCACGCTCACTTCTTTCATTTTAAGTACTGGCTGCATATCATATAATCGAATCGGCTTTGCTTTTTGTAGCTGAAACGTTTGCAATTCACGCCAAAATGGACAAACACATTGACAAACTGAATGCTAGTATTCAGCACAAAGTGATTTAAAGTTTATACGAGTGCAGAGAATGGAGTGCATTTAACATATGCAACGAATTTTTTATTGTTGTTGCGGGCCAACTCTTAATAACCAGCATAAATTACAAGCTTACAAAATTTACATATGTGCCGTACCAGAAACACGCAAATGTTGGTCATATTTCTTGAAAATGAAGGAAAAAAAAAGAAAAGTTCTGTTCCCCCGTTCAATGGGTAGAGTTTTTTAGCGCAATATATGATTGTTGTTTCCTTTATGCTATTGAGATATGGGTCCAGGAATTGGGTTACGTTCCGTAACTGAAAACTACAGTAGTTTCCATCTGCATCTGCGTGGTTGTTAAATGCATAAACTGTCCGTACGTTAAAGTAAAATGTTCATTAATTAATAAAAAATAAGGAAAAACTTTGTTGAAATAATATTTTAATACTGTTGCGATTTCCGTTTAAGAGCGGCTTACATCTATCGATTTTCCTGAAATATGCGCAAAATGCTCTGTAGAATTAACTTATTAAGAAAAAAATACATATTTGCTTGTCGTCAACAGTGACTCCTACATATCATCATAGCCACAGGACTGGGTACAGGACATGCCCTACCCACCGGATGTACACGTATGCCAGCCTATCGATTGCCCTCGCTGAAAATTCAATTAAATTCCGTGTGCGGTCACAAGGAAGTACGAAACGTTCTTTTCCGAGGGGATCTCTCACTTGTCCGCTAATTAAATTGAGTGAGGTTGCAGTGTCTGGTCAAGAGCCTTGGAATTTGAAATATATATGCGTAAAGCACGTGTGTGCTTAATATATAGGTATTTATGTTTGGTTCAGGTGGCGAGTTTGGAATGTTGATAGGCATGAAATGTTGCGTCTATCGGCCAACAGGTGGCGCTAACTGCCAAAAGTATTTAAATTTGGAATATATCCACCCGTGTGTTCTTAATCTATGAGTGGTTCAGGTGTTAAGTTCAGTATTTAGAATGTTGATAGGCCTGCCCTATTGCGTGTAGCGACCAACAGGTGGCGCCAGCTGCTAGTACTGATATTGAAGCAATGTCCATAAAACAAGTAGGCTAGGTCCACAGGCTGCAAGTAGGCTGCCTTTTAGATAGATCAATAAATGTACAGCTGACACGGCCATAAAGACACCCACACTCATACGCACATGCAGATTGTGTGTCTGTGCAGTAGTTGTTGCTGTTGTTGCTGTTGCTGTTGCCGTCAACCAAGTGGCACTTGAAGTACTTGCACCCAGCGTTGCCGTTAACAAATGTGATTTTCACTCGACAAGTCGACAACTATGGTCAGGGCGTGCCGGGGGCGGGCTTGAGTGTGTTTTCATTAGCAAGTGTTTTCCAGCTATTGCTGCTGATGTTGCTGTTGTTGTTGCTGCCGTCATTTAAGTGCAAAGTTCAAGAGCGTCAATTTTATAAATTGAAAATTTAATTGTGTTGATTTTTCAAAGTCAATCAGACATGCGATTCAATGTTGTACCTGCGCCCTGTCAATCCGTATTGACCCACCGCCAAACTCATTGAAAATTCATGGAAAATTTCATATAATTGACCACCTGTCATGGCTGAAAGGCAGCTTGAATTGTATCTGTCAATAACTATCTAGTTAGAGCTTTAATTACAACAACCAATAAATTATTGCAGTTGAAAAGAACGAAGTCGTTTAAGGGCAACCCCAAGTAATATTATTTTCTATTTTTCTTTATGTGAAGATTTCCCATTCTCAATATATATGTAAGCAATGAAAGAACAAGTGGAAGTTGAAAATATAACTGCGTTAAGAATATAACAAAATCTAAAAAGTATTTCCCGTTAAGCCCTAGTCCTAATAAAAATGAAAAGTTCAGGAAAAAAATTAAAATATAAATTGGTGATTCAACGTTTTGACTCTTTGGCTTACAATTTGTTCAAAATATACGCTAACCACAATTTTTTCAGAGAAATGTTAAAATCCAAAAATGAGACATTTTATTTACAAGGTGGGAATTATATATAAATTTTTATAATTTCATTTTTTCAAATAATTTTAGAAGTTGAATTAAACTCAATGGACCAAAATGGCACCCATCAGGCGTAAATTTGTTAAGCTGTGAAAAAGTTTTAAATTTTTAAGCTCAGCTTTGTTAAATTTAAGTATAATTTAATATCAACTTCAAGCTAAGCCAAT